CAATCCCATAAAACTTTTCTTCATTATGGTAGCACTGAAGTATAACCCCTTTCAACTGATACAGCAGAAATAACCCTTGTGGATATGCCTCCCATAGTAGTGTTTGTACATATTACACTAATCAAATTGGAGAAACAACATATAGCATTTTTTGGTAATGAAAGGATGTATAAGCTTAAAAAAATCCCATAATAATTATGGGAACAGATTCAGTGCAAGATGTGCCAAAACTTACAGTGTAATTCTAAACATACAGCTCTTACTATTAGGTACAGAATAATCAGGTTAATAACTTGTAAAATTACAACTCCCAACCTGGATTCTGTTTTCCTTATGTCTGATGTGTCTAGTGCATTCATCCTTAAAAATTTCACATTTCCATTACTGACAATGTGCAACACTAGGTAGCTACCAAAAGGGTTGCATCCACTTATTCAAAGTTTAGCCTGGAAGAAAGAATTCTGGTAATTTGATTATTTTTTTAAATAAAAAAGAATTTTTAAAAAGCCACTGAAGCACCACAGTGAAACACTTACTATATAAATTATATGGCTATGTCTGGTGCTGCATATGAATACCACGTATTATAACTTGCACAATTCATAAATACAACAAAACTACAGAAGTAGACAAAATTATACCACACAGAATTTGAAGATAATCTCAAAGAGTCTGAGAAGTTGGCTATTACATACCTGGCAAGATGCTCTTCATTTTGCATAAATGGATCTCCATACTCAAAGATCCATGGTGTTATCATCTTAAGAAAGTTAAACACTTTCTCTTGGTATTCCAGATTGACTGGCTATGTTTCATACATTTTATTAATCATTTCAATTATTAGCATATATGTAAGTTTTAAAGATTTAGCACTTCAGAGTCTAAATCAGAGGGTTTATTTATAGGATGACCTAAAGCAGTTCTCAAACATATTATATCTATTCTACAAACTATTTGTGTTTTGCACTCAACAACAACTTGTCTGGACCATGGTTAATTTAAGCTCTTTAAGTGGGTTCTTTCCATTGGCTGGAAGAAAGCTTTGCTGTTGTTCCCTATTCTTCCCTGCCTTGCATGCCACTTCAGTCCTGCCCTGCAAAACATGCCTTCTGTCCCAAGAGTTGGTATATCCAATAAGCTCCTCTTTACGGAATGGAGAAAAAGTTAGGGAGGGCGCAGAGGAAAGGCGTGTTTGTTATAGGAGATGGGGCAGGCAAAGGAAACAGCAGAGTCTGCTACAGCTGGATCCTCCCTCTGTCCCCAGGATTACTATGGGAAAGCAGGGGTGATGGAAGGCGACAGAAGCAGGCAAAGGGAATGGACTGAGCCACTCTAGCAGTCGTTCCGATAGCCTCCTTAATTTTCTCTCTTTCTTCCCCAACTTTGTTTCCTTTGTTGTCATGTCATTTTAGATTGTAAGCCTGTTGGCAAGGACTACCTGTTTTGCTGCTTGATTATAAGCCCTTTCAGATATCATTTTTGGTTAAGGAATTGGATAAAATAGTTTGAATAACTTAAGAAATAAATCATGTAAAAATATATTCATTCCACTTCTCACCCAAAGAAGCTCCCAGACTAGCTCACATACTATCAGTAAAACAAACCAATCTAAATATTTGATACACATATAAAAAGAATGGGTAGGGAAGAAGAAAAAATGAAATAACCTTCCACAGGACTGATGGAATGGTCCTGCTTTCCCTCTCATCCACCTTGGTTTCAGCTGTTGGACTGTCTTGCTTTTGGTGACACTGTGTAATCCAGTCCCATTCCAACAATCCAACAACCTTATTTCCCACATCTGCCAGCTATTTGAAATTAAAACATAGCAAAAGGCTACTTGCAAACCAGTAGGACTAATTACTAAGGTAACAGGAAGCTAGCTATATGCACTTCCAGAACAAGTCAGGTTAGCAGAAGGGAGTCCCACTGACTTGCTCCATATCACTGCCAATTTCTCTAGAAAGCACTAGCTTTGTGCTGCATTATCAGCAAGTCCGACCAGTGTAACAGAGTGAGTGGAGATGCAGCAGCATTATTGCCAAGGGCAGCAGGCTAGCTTAATGGGCAGAGGGGGCTGTATGGAACCTACTTTCCCTGAATGTACTCTAAGCCACTGCTTTGCATCCACCCACCTCAGCAACTGTTGCCTGAGGTGACTGCCCACTGCCTGAAGGTGGAGATTTTGGTAAATGGTTTTCGGGGTGGGGGGGGAGGCAACTTGGGTGTGTGTGTGTGCGTGTGTGCACATGTGTACACACACGGGCCCACAAGGGTCTCTTTCAGATCCTATCTCATTGGAAAAAGGCGTTAAGCAGGTCTGTTTACTTGCTCCATTTTTATTCAATTTTTATATTAATGATATTGTAGCAGCCATGAAGTCACAAAGCTTCTTCTCCCCCTCACTCAATGGATGGAAAATCTCTGTGTTAATGTATGCTGATAATATGGCTCTTATTTCTTATACTGAGATTGGATTTAGAAGATTACTGGCCAGATTAGCTGCTTACTGTGAAAAGGAAAAACTAAAGATTAATTATAGTAAAACAAAGATAGTTGTCTTTGGCAAAAGTAACACCAAACACAGATGGACAATGAATGCTCAATAAATAGAGCTATGCCCCTCTTTTAAATACTTGGGTATTACTTTCCAAAGGTCCCTTTCATGGAAAGCATACCTATCTACTGTTTCAATAACTGCCCAGTGTACAGTAGGTGCTATTTTGTCATTCTTTTATTCTAAAGGAGGGCAATTAGCTGCCCCTGCACTTAAAATATTTCAAGGCAAGGTAATAGCCCAGATGTTGTATGGGGCTGAGATTTCGAGGTGCGTTGAAAAGGTTATTGCTCAATTGGAAGTAGTTCAAAATAATTTCATAAGGAAAATTTTTGGGCCTCCCCCAGGGCACTCCTGCTGCCTATTTAAGGATGGAAGTAGAGCTACCTGCCGTCACTGCTAGAATACACCTTGCATTGCTGGGGCATTATAAGAAATTAGAAAGTGTTCAAGAATCCCATCTTGCCAAACTCTGTTTTCTCCGTTACACATGAACTAAACTCCTGTATCCCATCCCACAAAAGTATTCCCTGCCATCTTTGGATGAACTCAGATCCTGGGGCAGAGAAAACATTAGAGATTGGCTGTTTGCAACGGATGTCAACAAAGATGCCACCGTAGCCCAGTCATCCAAATTTTCACTTTGGCACCATCAGTATAAAAAACACAGAGGTTTTTCCCAGTACCTGGCTAACATAACCAGTGCCCCATTGAGAAAGGCCTTAACATCTTTGCGCCTACAGACAATGGCCTCTGCGTATCTTGAAGGAAGACATCATAAGCTCCCTGTTGAGCAATGTCTCTGCCCCTGTGGTGTTGGTCAACGTGGAGGAGATTATTCATTGCATCCTCCACTGCCCCATCCACAATGTGATTAGGACCAAATTATTAAAGGTGAGGGCTCAGATCTTGAAAAACTAATCCACTTCTTGCAGATGCGTTCCCAATTGTCAGCAATCAAATTGCCATCTTTTCCTTGCTCTCATTTAAACTCAGAAAGAAAATTTTAAGTTCCTAGTTGTAGCATTGGCCCTACTTTGTTGTAACCTTTTATTTACAACTTCTATCATTCTATTTTATAATCTTACTATCTCGTTGTTTTATTATTACTATTTTATGGCATTTTATGGCACTTTTGTGATATGTTATGACCTATGGTTACAACAATAAACTTACTGAATTGAAAACTTGTATAGATTTTCCCCATGAGACATAAGATACCTGGGGGGTGGGAGTTAATGGAGAAATGGAACATGGTTGCTCCCCTACTCCCATTTTGCCATCTCAACCCAATTCAACCCCACAACCAGCCATAAGTATTTGAAAAAAGAAAGAAAGAAGAACTGTTGTAGACTATGATTACAGCTTTCCCACATGCCAGTTGTGCTTCAAATAACAAACCATTTATTTCTCTCAGAAAAGACAAAGAATTCCAGATTACCTTTAGCCATTGCTCCCAAAAGTAAATATTAGTAAACAGCAAATAAGCATTTAAAATGATCACATATTCTGAAATTTTAATTATTATTACTGGAATAATAAACACAAGTATAACTTAAGTAAAATTATTTCTGTGTGTGCAACATTCAAGACAGTGCAAGTTATAGTGACCCATAGGTACATGGGACCAGATTGGTGAGCTAACGGCAGGGGGCTCGGGCTGGGAGACTCTTATTAATTGAAAAGCCATTATTTACAAGAGTTCGTTAATGGTTTGTCTGTCATGCTTTAATATTACTGAGAAACAAAAGCCATTCTAGGCAATGTCTGTCTGCACATCCTGTGTTGCTTTAGTAATGTATGCCATCTCTCCCTTGCCCCTGCACTTGACTGCTGTTCTTGCAGAGCTAACAATGAAGATGAGACAAATTCCCTGAAGTACCTTTATATACTGTATCTTGCATTGTATTTGTCCATTACTTTCATGGCCAAATCATTCATTATGCAGGGAATCCAGTAAGAAACCTCCAATCCTTTTTGGTTTGGTTTGGTTTGGTTTGAAGGAGGTAGGTGCAAGAGACTCTGAAATTGATTAAAGGTACTTGGGGAGGGAGTGCTTAAGTGCAAATTTAAATTCTCCCCCCCCCCCTCAAGTTATTAATAACCCTGCAGCAGGGTTTAGCATTTATGTTATTAAAAAACGGCTTTTGGGGGTATCTGCAATTAAGAGTAGGTAAGGAAAGTAAAAACAACAACAATGAGGCTTTGTATGTGGCTTGACCCTCAGGTCATGTGAAGTCTTTGCAGGCAGTAGGAGAAAAATGAGAATTAGAGTTTGGATAAGGAAGGACAGAAATGGCACATTGAAGGAAACAGCAAGAGTCCTTCTTCACCAACAGTACTTTTATAGCCAGTCTACCATCATGGATATGCATTTAACAGCTACCCCATGGAGGGTTCTATATAGTCACATTGACACAGATGTAAGGAACAAAATTCTTACTTGCTTCTCGACTACTGTATGGCCATCCAGGAGCAGAGAGAAAAGGTGGCACTGGAGAGCTTGTCCTGCTGTCATCTCCCAGCTGCTGCGTAATATGGCGCACAGTATCTTTATTTTTCCTATTCTTTCTGCGCCCTGTAGGCTGCCATCCATCTGTAGCACCTTGTTCTGAGAAAGTATTTTGCACTGCCCCATCTTTGGCAGCCTGCAATTCATTTCCTCCATACTGAGATGGTGAGATCTGCTCTTCTTTGATACGCAAGGATGCATACCCTAAATCACTAGACCAGAGAGACTGGGATGAAATGTCATCATGACCATCTGCTTTTGGTTCTTGATCCTCCTTCCCGTATGTGCTTCCACCATCATGACAGCTAGCAATGGCTGAATCACCAGAGGAATTTGCTGGACTTGTCCGGCGAGCCAGCCAGGGAGATATGCTCCTACCAGCTACTACTGCTGAAATCAGAGCATCTGTACTACTGCTGGAAGGAGCCCCAAGTTCATAATCAATAAGCTCATCTGATGCATCAGATTTTATGCTGATGTCAAGAGCAGCCTTTATGAAATTGTGACAAGCTTGCACGATATCAGTCATCTGGAGATAGCTAGCAGCTGACATCACCTCAATAACGTTCCTGCTGGTCAACGCAAGGTGTGCCGAATACATGAAGTCAATGATTGCTTTAAATCCCTGTGCTGTTACAATATCTAGGTGCGTGATTGTTGCCTGGTCAGAGGTCTTCTGCACCTGGCAGTATAGTGTCTTGAAGTAGCGGCTGCTCCCAAGTAAAATGTTTTTGTGAGCCTTGAAAATCTTCCCCTCCACTATAATGCAAACATCACAGAGGATGCCATGCTGTCTTTGTTCATTGAGTTCTTGAAGCAGATGACGATAGTGGGAGGCAATCTCCATGTCTTCCTTTTGATTATTCATTTATAATATTTGAGCTTCCAGCATTAGATCTAGTTTGCCCTGGAAAAATAAGCCATACAGAGCAAGTTTGATTCAACAGATACACTGTTAACTGTTACAGTGCATTAAGAATTATTATCCCTGAAGATTATCTTTCTGTGTACCAGACAGATAAATATTTGGTAAGCATTCTTAACAGTTCTATTTACTGATAATTAATTGTATTAATTGTAATAGAATAATGTCCATATTTCAGAAAACTTTGTCTTGATAAAAACTGGCATATTAGAATATTAAAAACTTTCAATCTAATTAAGATCAATTATGATGCACTATGACAACTACCTTCTGGGGTGGGAAAAATTGCAAGTTTAAAGAGATTTCAGAGTTTAAGATCAGATCAAGGTAGGACAGAAAATGTGTTTATAGGCTATGAACAGCAAAACATTCTATAATAGCAGTTCCCTTAGAAATCATCTTTAGATTAAATCAAAGATTTATATTTTGAGAAAGCTACCTGTGAATTCATTTCAACTTCAATTAGTACACACATTCAAGAAGAGCATCAAAGGCTACCAGTACAGCTCAACAAACCCTGGTGAAAAACAGCCACTTTCAAATTACCTCTTTATACTATATACTCATCCTTTATCATCCCCTCTATTTTCAGCATTTAGGAATGAAGATAATCACTCTTGCAACCAAAGAAGCACTGTCCACACATAAGAGGGAGATATTAGTAGGCTCAGGGAAACATCTCAAGGAATATTCAGAGTTACACCCATGCCTCAGAACACACTGCCACTTGTTTTTCAGTATAACCACCACCATCGCCAAATCTGGATTGTACATTCAAACCAAGGAAGCAATTCATCAGAAAATAACACAGCTACCCCTCGAGAATGAAGCTGTGTTTCAGAAGGCACTTTTTTGTGTCCCGGTGGACACATTTGGCAATTAAAAAAAAAACTGCTCTGGGCACCACCACAAAGTAAGTGCAATAGGAGGCATGGGGCAAACAACCTGCCCAAAGGACTGCATACAAGGCTGTGCTAGGGCTGAACATGAATGCCTTAAACAACTCCTTTATAACCATACATTTCAGCACCAAGCCAAACTATTTCAAAGATTACAAATGCCTTTGCTCTCCCCCACCCCCTGCCACCCAGTTCATACCTCTCTGCCCATTTCTCTCTTGTTGTGACCACCACCCACTGCTATGTTCTCTCTGTCTGTTTCTCTTTCTGCACATCATATGACCTCGGCCACCATCTACTGACACAAAAGTATATATATATTTATCTTGGTATCCTCATGGGCTTCCTGCTGCTTCACCTTCCCTCTGATTTACCACTCTTTGTAGCCCCTACTTTTCTTCCTTGTATTTCTTCACTGCTACTTTCTTTCACTTTCTCCCTGCCAGAAAAGACACGAGTCCCATTTCCTTTCCCGGCTCTTTTTGTTTGATGGTTGGGGACATTGTGATGCCAACCACATTTCCCAAGATTGTCTTTGAGCTGCATGTGTGGCTGACACAGATTAATGGGGAAAGAAGATGGCAGCGGTTGCAGACCCTTGCTTTGTTTTGAAGCAGTTCCAGCTGCCAGTAAGGCAAATATGTTGCTGCTGTTTTTTTAATAAGTAGAATATGGCAGCTCAATGAGTTCTACAAAGTGCACAGGGGCAAACTGTTGCCTACCCTTGAAACATTTTCCATTTTCTGCTATAAAATTAAGAAGAACACACAACATTTCAGAGAGGAACTCTCACTATCATCAGCCATTCTAGCAGGGCGATCTGAGATGAGTGGGAGAGCAAGGCACTTAGCCCTGTGGAAAGAATTAACAACCAACCAACCAACCAACCAACCAACCAACCAACCAACCAACCAACCAACATCTTTCCTCTCCATTTGTTTTCCTTGTGTGTCTTGCTTTTTAGTGGGTCAATCTGTCTTCTTTAATTGATTATAATGTAAGCTGCTCTGGAAGCTATTTGATTTGAGCGGCAGCATAAAAATACTTCAGCTTAATAAATAAATAAATTCTGTAAATACCAATCCTATAAAATCCCGCTAGTTTTATTGGACTTGTTTCTTTCCATTTTTCTTTTAAATTCCAAATCAAGGCACTTCTAAAACCATGATAAATAACTTCATATAATGTAGTTTCTATAATCAATGGAAGACAAGTGCTGTTCATATCTCCAAAGATTTTCTGTTTTGAAGAGTCCCTAAAATGCCTTTGTTCCAGTCCATTTTTCCCATCTTTTTTCCCTTATATTGGCCCTTCAGACTGAAAGCTTTCAGAATGAATCTGTGTTTTTCAAAACATGAAATACCTACTTGCAGGCATCAATAACAATTATTTCCTAAGTTCAAATGCAGATATCTCTTGCTACAAGCCGTCTCCAAAGTCAAACTAATGTATGTATAAGGAAATCTTACTGAACAGTAGCTATCCTATAATGTATACCTATTCAGAATGAGAGCAAATCCATATACAACAAATTATTGCCAAGGTTCCAACATCTAATCACACAATATGACTTTATGATCCAATTTATTTTTCTGTTATGCGACCATGAATTAAGCTTGTTATTAATTCAGCTTCCATCAGAGGTGCAGTGTCCTTCCAGTGTCTTCAGATAATTCTTTGTTGACATTAGGCTCATTATATTAGTGTCCCTCTCCTCCTCTCTCCTGAGATAACTTTTCTGGAAATGAAGTACGCTAATCATACAATGCAATCATTCCACCTTGCTTCAGTATTTATCAGAACATTTGGACCACAGCAACAAAGTGGCTTAATGACACATTTTTAAGCTGAGCAAACATTGAAGCAAACTATATCAGAGTGGTGTGTTTGCTTCTTCAGGGAGGCATTCTACATTTGGATTTGCTTGGAACCTTCCCATAATAATCATTGCCTTGCTCTTTAGCTAACTTACAGCACAACAATCAGAAGAGTTGTGACCAGGTTTGCAACTTTGGGATTTAAGTACAATTAAATGTCTTTTAATTTAAAGTCTTTGATTGCACACCAACTAAAAACATAGGAACAAAAAAGGACCAAGGTCCCATCCCCTCCAGTATTCTGCTCACACAGTGGCCCACTGGATCCCACTAGCAGGACAAGAGTACAACAGCACCCTCCTCTCCAAGCTTCCCAACTGCTGTACATAGGCAGTACTGTCTCTGCTACAGGCGGTAGCTATCAGGACTAAACACCCTTTTTTTGTCTTTTTCTCAATACATTTGTGAAGTGATCTTCTAAAGCTGTCCAAGTTGGTTGCCATCACTGTATCTGATGGAAGTGAATTATGCAATTCAACTATAGTTTTTGTGAATAAGTCCTTTCTTTTATCTGTCTCCACCAATCAGCTTCATGGAATGGCCACTTTGGGTTCTGGTAGGAAACAGGGGGAAAAAATTCACCCTGTACCATAGTTGTGTATATAACGGTATGATATTAGCCATTTTATATTCAGTGTTGCTCCTAATTATGCCTAACATTAAATTTCCCTTTTCAAAACCAGTTCCTGAAATCAAGTAGCTAATTTCTGAAGCAAGAAGAATTATATTGTTATTCATTATTTCATTTAATTTCTATAGCACCCAACAGTAAAAGCTCTTTGGACAACAATACAATAAACAAAGCATCAAATTCCAATATACAAAATCTAAAACAGAATTTAGAACAATCTTAACAGCTAAACCAAAATTTGAATGCAACTAGACTGACCTAACAGCACCCCTTGTGCCATTAAAATGCCATTTGATGACTCGAAGAAGACAGCAATCCTAACCTGGCAGCAAAAGAATAACAGAATTGGTACCAGGCAAGCCCCATTGGGGAGATAATTCAATAATTGGAGGCCACCACTGAGAAGCCCTTTGTCTTGTTGCCACTGATGGAACCTCCCTTGACACTCAGAGGAAGTCCTCAGATTTTGGTGACAATGTCTGGGTAGACAGTGACTGGGAGAGGTGCTAGAAATAAGTATTGTGGTCCCACACTGCGTTATGCATCATAGGTTAAGCACCTTGAATTGGGCTCAGAAGCATGCAGGCTGCCAATGCAAGGACTGAATTGGTCTTATATGCTCAGACCTTCTGGTCCCAGTTTTAAGCCTGGCAGCCATTTTTTGCACAAGATGTTGCTTTTGAATGGTCTTCAAGGGCAGTCTTGCAGATTGCAAATGCAGCAATCTACTGAAACTAGACTACCCTGTCCAGAAAATAGCTGGGCCAGCAGGCAGAACTCATAGAAGGCACTCCATGCCATTGAGGCTACCTGAACCTTAGGCGGTGAAGATGGGTTGATGAACACCTCCATGCTACAAAGCTGTTCCTTTGAGGAGGTGTGTGCAAGCCCATCCAGAACAGGTAGAGCACCCTCCATCTGGTTAGAGCATCCACCCACTAACAGCATCACCTGATGAAAGGGAGAATCAGAGCCGCAAGTCCTCATCATACTGATGACAACACCCTCCAAAGTTCAGATGACACAACACTTTCATGTGGATGTTAAATTACATGGGAGACAATACAGATCCCCAAAGAACTCCGTGCTGGAGGTTCCTTAGGAGTGAACAATATTCCCCAAGCACCACTTTCTGGAGACAGCCACTAAGTAGACAGCCACTCCCAGCTCAGAGAGAGGATACCGTGGTCAATGGTATGAAAAGCTGCTGAGTGATCCAGGAATATCTACAGGGTCACACTTCTCTGGTCTCTCCCCTGCCATAGATGATCAGGCTGCTTCTGTGAAACCCAGCTGGCATGACCCCCAACTGAAATGGATCCAGGGAATGGATCTCATGCAAGAGTGCCTGTGGCTGGTTAGCTCAATAACTTGGCCCAGGAAAGGAACATTTGCCACTAGCCTAAAGTTATTAAGGTCTTCTGGGTTGAAGGAGGGCTTTTTCAGACACAGTCTCACCACTGCCCTATTCAGGTGGCACGGAACCACTTTCTTTTGCCAAGGAGGCATTAATCCTTGTCCCAGTTCATATCAATAAGGATAAAATACATGGGTAAACTTCCTTAAGCAGATGTA